GTATGAGCAAACGAATTTTAAAGATAATATAATTATATGTTTTACAATGATACCTTATTTTATGTCTAATTGTAAACAGAACCAAAAACCCTAAGAAAGATGTTTAAAATACTTGAAATAAACTAACAGTCAGTCAATTTTTAAGGAATGTTGTCCATGGGCCGGAAAAGATCACTACACAGGCTTACAAAATTGTACACTGAACATGTAGTATAACGAACCAACCAAACTCGTCCTTCATTTCAAAAGACAATTTGATGTTTTGCTCATTCTAGTTACTCCCACATTATGTTATACAAATTGTTGAATCATTTCATGTTTTGAATATGCGTGAAATATTGGTCGCTGGACAGAAAACACCAGCAGCAAACTGTTTATATAGTTTGTGAATTCATTTAATACAAACTGTTCATTTTTTTCACTTTCAATACCATATTAAATTCCAGAAATGACAAAACTAAACCATTAAAACCGACGAGGTATCTGAAAGAGAGGCGAAATATACCAAAGGGACATTCAAACTCATAATTCGAAAATAAACTGCCACGCCACGACAAAAAAATAAACTGCCACGCCACGGCAAAAAAAAAAGAGAAAAGGACAAAAAGACAAACAAAGTTTGCAAAACACAAAAAGAAAACTAACGACTGAGCAACACGAACCCCACTATAAATCCGGGGGTGATTTATGGTGCTCCGAAAAGGTAAGCAGATCCTGCTCCACACGTTGGAATTACAATAATAATTTGATATATATAGGTTGCACTTTGTAAATACAGCTGTTTCACAAACCTCGCCTCTTTAAGGGAGATATATAATATTCATAGATATTTTGTTTTGTTTTCCGTACTGGTTCCCAGATATGATCTCTATGTTTCATCTCATAGAGACATAAGTGGGAAATGTTACCAGTATAAATGCACATGGTAGGGTGAAATTGAATTCTTAGGAAGACCCAAAGTAAAGGGAGGGGTATTGCAGAATTTTAGTATAAGTTTAAACTCTTAGAAGTTCGGGAAATAGTATGTTTTGACCTTTTAATAAAATAGTAGTGCATATCAACTTTCCATTCTAGAATATAATTTTTACGAAACTTCATAGTAATAGTGGCACAGTTTTAGCCTTAAAGGGAGTTCCTATGGGAAATTGCATTTTACAGAAGTGCAACCTAAAGCTTCTTATTTTAAGTTCGATGTGTAGAATAAGAATGACAACAAGAGATACTTCAAAGAACCTACAATAAAAAAGGCAAGAAATGGACAGTTTTCTGTTGAATAGCAATATTATAAATAACAAAAAATACGTTAAAAAATAACATTGAGATAGATTCCGGTATTTATTGTAGAATATTTTACATTTTATGGCGTATTATTTATGTGTTGATTAGCTGTTAACTTAATATCATGAAACCCACAACTTTCGATCAATTTTTAAGTATATGCTTACACAATTGATTTGAAAATTTTAAAGACAAAAGGCCATGAAACAATTTTATAGAAAATTGATGTAGGGTCAATTTTATAGAAAATTGTTTCACAAGAAGGCCATGTCTTTAAAGTTTTCAAATCTTTAATTAGAATATCACAGTTAACCAGCTTCATATATTTACTTTGAGCGTTTAACAATAGAATGTCGTTTTTGTGATAGCGATAATTTGTGTAAATTGTGCATCTTTATTTGAAACTATTTAAAAGGATTAGTTTTCTTAAATCTGATATCTTTGGACTTTCACAGACAAACTGTTCGGTCATAAAATGTCATTATATTGTTATACTTATTATCGTTTTATCTAAATCATTTTATTTGCAATATTTGTCCGTCAAAGTAATTTTATTAACATGTAACGATTTTTCTTTATAAAGCTTTTTGTGTTATAAGTAACAATTAAGTGTCAGTATATTTCACAAAGTCGGAAATTTGTTTCAAGATAATGCTTTTGATAAATAATAGATAAAGTCACAGCTTTGCATAATTCTTAAGTTTTCTTATGTAAAGAATAATTAATACTTTATAGTCATTTCAATTACCGCTATTTAGCCTAAAGCTAAAGCGACAGATTTTTGTTCTATATATTCTTAATCCGTTAAGTGCTAATTGTATTATTTCATTGTCATTCGGTAATTTCATTTCTATTGTGAAAATTGTAACCTTGTAAATTGTTGATTTACATATGTTTTCTGAAGTTCTTACTTCAGTGAGAGTCGGGCATTCGTACTGACAACATCCGCTCATTTGTAAAAGTACATGTATTCCATCCTGAATCAATAAATTGTTAACTACTGCATAGGACTTGTGTCTAATTCTACAAGTGGAGTTTACGGCGAGTATTCTCAGGCAAGTGGTTAGATCCTAGTCATTGTCTAACGTTGGCATCACCAACGTCTGCAACCGGTCGTGGGTTGCAGCTCGTTATCATCATCAATCAGTAGCCAGTCTCACGGTTACATTTTGCTGAATCCTTAACAAAATAGAAGACTCAAAACTGCAAATTTGATGGATCATTTCAATTTCAGAAGTTTAAAATAAAAAAAAAAAGGGCTCAATTATATTATATTGCCAGGACTTCCTCTTTCAATTTTAATGAACCAACATGTTTGACTTGTTTATAGGAAAATGTTTAAACATGAACCTCTTCTAATCCGGCAAAAAAACTCTTTCCTTAGTTTTGTCGTCCTTCTGCTTTGCTTGATGTATAAATACGCAACAAAGTCCGAACGGAATGATCACATTAAATCAAATCCCTCATGTGGGACAAGTGCCACGATATCTGCATGTTTAAAGAACCCACTAGACAAGTATCAGAAGGGTCCGTCGGAGGCCTATTGCAATTGTTCTGCCTCTATCCAACATACCCACATTTCCTGTGGTATTCCACAGTTACCGTCCATCCTACCGTTCGGCCGGACTATCATGCAGACCCTATCTATTGCATTAATTGTTAATATTCTCCTCAATGAATATTCATGAAATTATTGCCACTGGCAGCAGTCAATTATTCATCTGATGCAGGATTAAACAACCAAAACAAACAAACATTTGTAAATCTTTAATGGCGTGAACGGATCGACAGATATCTGTTTATATGTATATACAAATATCTGATGACAACATAATATGTTCTACATTTCCTTGAATATAAATATTTTTAATGGATAAATATAACTTTGTAATATCTTAATTCTTTGATACGAATGTAATGTTTACCATGATTTGAACAGCATTTATATACATATATCCTTTTAAATTTTGAATGGGCAAAATTCATATCATCAAACTCCACGGGTACAGTTACTCTGTTGTGACGAAATCCAAACAGCGATTAAATTTTGATGTGAAAAGCAATGATTTTTGTTTTTTCTCTTTGTATCTGTATAATTGTTGTTTTCTTTATTGTACTTTGAGATATCAATCTCGGGGCTGTTTATGTACTTTGAGATATCAATCTCGGGGCTGTTTATGTACTTTGAGATATCAATCTCGGGGCTGTTTATGTACTTTGAGATATCAATCTCGGGGCTGTTTATGTACTTTGAGATATCAATCTCGGGGCTGTTTATGTACTTTGAGATATCAATCTCGGGGCTGTTTATCGTCACTTAGTACAGTAGTAAGTCTAAGTTACAATGGCGTCAATTAAAATATCAGTTTGAGTACAACTGACAGTCGTTAAAGAAAAGTTTACACCGATGCTATATGAAATAATTATAACAAAACTCGTCAAAAACACGAGAGACGTCACGGTTGATTCTGAGAGGAACGGTGACTATTTTAAACATTTGCGGAAATTATGTTCCCAATGACAACTTATTATCGACACACTTCAGTATGCACCCAAGTATAATAATTTTTTGATTACAAAAGAGGGACGAAAGATACCAGAGGGACAGTCAAACAACCTGTTCCAACGTCAATTGTGAATATGAATGAATTACAAATACATATACCATTGGATGTTCTGCGACCAACAACGATTTATCGATGCTTCCTATAAAAAAAACTTAGTAATTAGTCGATGCACAACTGTTCTTAAATTTTGAGACACGTTATGAGCAAAAGAATTTTAAAAATAAATTTATTATATGTTTAACAATGATACAATTATTTCATGTCTAATGTTTAACGGAACTTAAACCCTTAGAAAGATGTTAATGATTTTTACTTGAAATATATAATTGTCAGTCGATATTTACGGAATGATGTCCGTGGGCGGAGAGTGTACTACACAGGCTTACAAATGTGTTCACTATACATGTAGTATAACGAACCTACCAAACTAGTCTTCTATTTCAAAAGAAACTTTGATGTTTTGCTCATTCTAGTTACTCCCACATTATGTTATATAAACCGTTAATTGCTTTTATGCTTTGAATATACGTGAACTATTGGTCGCTATACGAAAAACATCAACAATAACATTTTTCATCTACTTTGCCTTTTGTAACTTTTGTAAATCTATACCGCCAACAATATACAGTCTTCATCAGATTTCTATCAAACTATAAATTGTCCGTAGTCTAGATATGTTATAAATTCATTTAATACAAACTGTTCATTTTTTCAATCATCAATACCATGTTGAATTCCATAACTGAAAAAAAACCATTAAAACTGACGAGGTATCTAAACAGAGAGGCGAAAGATACCAAAGGACATTCAAACTCATAAGTAGAAAATAAACTGACAATGCCATGGCTAAAGAAGAAAAGGACTAAAAGACAAACAACAGTATACAAAACACAAAAAAGAAAACTTAAGACTGAGCAACACGAACCCCACAAAAAACCAGGGATGATACCAGGTGCTCCGGAGGGTAAGCAGATCTCGCTCCACACGTTGTAATTACACTTAGTCTAATAATTTGAAATGTAAAGCTTCTCACTTTAATTTGGATGTGTGGAATAAGAAAGACTTCAAAGAACGTACAACAAAAAGGAACAAGAAAGGGGCAGTTGTCTGTTTATAGCATTATTATAAATAAAAAACACAAGTAAAACAATATCATTGAGATCGATTCCGGTATTTATTGTAGAAAGTATTACATTTATGACGTATAGCAATAATATAGAGGGGTCGATGATGAATTAAATGCTGAATGTGTTTAAAGTTGATAAGCGCTGTACATGTATGAGCTTGTAATGTGACGTCTACCTTATATTTTTCCTTGTTTTGTAAGTCAGTTTCAAATCATTGAAACTATACTGACATTAAAACAAATTAAAATTGATCAATATTAATGATAAAATTACAGAAAAGTGTTAAGTTTTTACGGCGATTACTTCCTAAAAAAAGTGCATGAAATTTTTATAGCTGAAAAAGATATATGCCGAGTACAGAAATAGTAACTACAACAACATTTGGTAGGATCGTAGAGGAAGCTCCGGTCGGTGCCATGTCAACAATTGTTTCCGATGGAATCCTCACCCAGAAAGTGTTGAAAGACTCAACAGCTGTCGCTCTGAAATTATATATACAAAAAATTACAAATTTGTACATTAACTCTTGCAATATTTTCAAAATTTTCTTTTAAAAATGTACAAAACAATATTATTTTTTTGCATTTAGGCTTACATGCCAAAAAACTGTTAATTGTTTAGATATTGAAGTTTAATCAGAACTTTCATGAAAAATAAACAATTAAAATGGCTAATTTCTGATGTGTACAAATGTGTAAAAAGACTTACGTTTAACTATAATAAAAGCTATAAAATATACACCAATAATTTCTAAAAATTTCTTATATTCGAACTTTATTTGTAGTCGCACATTGAAGCTTACTTAGTTTGCATCCATGTCCAGTGCACAATGTTAAAACAATATTGTCGACATCGCGATATTTACAATGTTAACACGATATCGTGTCAACATCGTTTATATTGTATGAACTCTTATATATTGTTTACATCGTTGACATCGTTAACATCGCGATGTATACAATGTTGTAAAGATATCGTGTTTACATCGTTTACATCGCGATATCAACAATGTTAACACTATATTGTGTCAACATCGTTTACATTGTAACAGCTGTTTTATACTGTTTACATCGTTTACATCGTATACATCGCGATGTATACGATGTAGTAACGATGTAGAGTTTACATCGTTTACATAGCGATGTTAACAATGTTAACAAGATATATTGTCAACATCGTTTACATTGTAACAACTCTTATACACTGTTTACATCGTTGACATCGTTAACATCGAGATGTATATAATGTATTATCAATATCGTGTTTACATCATTTGCATTGTAGTGTGCACGATATGGTGTCAACATTATTTATAATGTTTGAAATGTAATAAAATGTTTACATCGTTTACATCGATATATTACAATTTATTAACGATATATTATGGATTACAAATGTTTCAATTTTTGTGATTGGATAACAACACGGAGATGTCAGTATATATTCAGGAAACTGTCGGGATATATACTACATTTTTTATCCCAATTGGAACATCAACAACGTCATCATAGCAAACGTTACTATATGACGTAGTCTTAAGCTATGCAGAACACTTAAAGAATGTTAGAGGCTCTAAGAGGGAAAATAATGACGTGTATCCGTCAATAATATGTATTTAATTTAAAACCACACTATTTACACATTCAATACTAAAGTAATGTCTTCAAGTGCTATTACAAATTATTGTATATATGATAGAATTATTTTCACAGCAAATTATAAAATGCTCTCCATATGCGGAAATTATCAAGTTGTTTTTTTCAGTATTTATTGTTGTTAAAAAAACCCATAAAAAATACAAACGGTATACATGAAATCTAAAAACTTTATTGAAAAATATTAATGAAGAAAAAAAATATTTGAGAAGATGGAAAACTTGTATTTAAAAGAATTACACAAAATATTAAGAAATAATAAACATGTACTGAATATATATATACTGCGTAGTGAATGTTTAACAAATACCTGGTATTGGTAAAAAAAATTGGCAGGGATTATCAGTAATATATGTGTAATTCGGGTTTCAGACAGGGTACATAATGTGACATTCCCGGGTTAGGGTTTATACGTTGTGAATGATGTAAACAGAAAGGTATAGACTTTATATACAACACAAACACGATGTTGACACGATATTGTCAACATCACGATGTATACCATGTGAACGATGTAAACAAAAAGGTATAGACTTTGTATACAATATAAACACGATATTGACACGATATTGTAAACATTGCGATGTATACGATGTGAACAATGTAAACAGAAAGGTATAGACTCTACATACAACATATACATGATGTTGACACGATATTGTTAACATTGCGATGTATACGATGTGAACGATGTAAACACAAAGGTATAGACTTGTTACATAACATTAATACGTTGTAAATGATGTAGACGATGTATACACGATAGTGTCAACATCCCGATTTATACGATGTGAACGATATAAACAGAAAGGTATAGACTCTATTATAGGATTAAACGCCTTTTTAAAGGAATTTATTGGTGAATAAACTCGACCAATTCACTCACAAAACAAATAAAAGTCCGAAGGACTTTTATGATATGTTTGTGAGTGACTTGGTCCAGTTTATACACCAATAAATTCCTTTAAAATAGCGTTTAATCCTTATAATTCTTTAAAAATGGAGATAAGGAATTCATTTTTCCACACTCGTAACATCTATCACACGTAAATTGTATATTTGTGTCATTGAATTGGCCTGGCGCATGAATATATTTGTTGGTTAACGCAAAATTATGTACTCCATGAAATTTGCTATCTGATAATAAATAAACTGCAAAAACACTTATTGTCATTCAAAAGTGTTTATTATTTAAATTAATGATTAACTCGAAGTGAAAATACATTTTGTTAACGTCGAGCCGGATTGTGTTATTATCGCCGCCATCTTGTTTACATTGGTTACGAAAAGAAGTTCGGTCAACGTCGTCTATCGAAAAATAATCAACGTCAAGAACAACTACCGGAAGTCCTCTCGACCAATCATATCAACGTATTCCCTAATATGCAAATCATATAAGAATTATATACAACATAAACACGATGTTGCCACGATATTGTCAACATCACGATGTATACGGTGTGAACGATGTAAACACAAAAGTATAGACTTGGTACACACCATTAATACGATGTTGACTATGTGAACGATGTAAACACGATATTGTCAGCATCACGATGTATACGATGAGAACGATGTAAACACAAAGGTATAGACTCGATATACAATATAAACACGATGTTGACACGATATTGTTAACATTGCGATGTATACGATGTAAATAGAAAGGTATAGACTCTATGTATACAACATAAACACGATGTTGACACGATATTGTCAACATCACGATGTATACGATGTGAACGATGTAAACACAAAGGTACAGAACATATATATAGATAGAATACAATGTAAACACAATAATGACATGATAAAGTAGACATTGCGATGTTGACAATATCGACAAAACATCGTGCACTGGACATACTTCTTGTTTTTAGCTTAAAAAGCTGAAGTACACTTTTAAACAGAATCAGATTGAAGTACTCAAACTCTTTGATAGATTAAAACAAGAAGGTGCATATGTCGAAACAAGTGGCAGCTGCTCCCTGGAGTACAAAGTGTATCATTTAATTTTGACAGCAGCATAAGGATAATATAGAAATGCTACTAGACAACTTTACAACCAAATCAATTTTTAATAGAATTAGATATTAGATTTTTGTGTGCATAGATATAATATATTTTATTTAGAAGTGGTAAACAAATCAGCAACTTTGGTGTAATGTCAAATATTAATTTAGCGAAAACTTAAATATACCTCCATATGTCTTTTTTGTTTTTTCTAAATGTTGATTGGCTGTTAACTAAATAAAATGAACCCCACAACTTTCTATCAATTTTAAAGTATATGCTTACACAATTGTTATATTTCCTCTAGATGTGGCAGGCGCAGTAAACTGAAAAGTAACACTGTCTTTCGGAGAAGCTTCTGTGTGTGTTACGGCATCATTCTGCAAATATAAAAAAAATGTTGGTTATTTCATATCATTTATGCAAATGAACATTTTATCTCTCGCTCTCGGAACAATGAAGTAAAAGAAGTTGGCACCAATTTTAACAGGATTTTTTATAAGAAAATTCACGACGGAATAAGGGAATAACATCTTCGAAATCTTGTTTAAAGTTTGTATTTGCTTTCACAGCTAATCAATATGCCTTAACATCTTTGCTAAACACATACTTTCATGATGACGCATGGATCTTATATATTGGTAATGTTACGGCGTATTGTTACCATTTGATCTTGCCTTTAAAGTAAAACAACCACTACAGTGCATTCCTGCTGAAACGTACAGGTTACTGTCACGTACAGATTTATCCATTTTCTTGGTGACGTGTATCAATTATACATTGCTGCGATATTGACTTTTGTGCTGGCTGAGACGGAAACATTCAATCAATCAATCAATTACTCGATCAATCAATCAATCAATCAATCAATCAATCAATCAATCAATCAATTAATCGATCGATAATCTATGATGTTCAACTTTATAAACTTTGACACCCGACACGCAAAACATCCAAACCAAACTAAGAACTTAGTGTTATTATGATCAAACATATTTTCATATTTTTCATATCGGGGCTTTTTATAGTCGATCATACGGTATAGGTTTTTTTCATTGTTGAAGACCGTACGGTTGCCTATAATTGCTTACATCCACTTCATTTGAACTTAGTTGGAATGTTCTCTCATTGGCTATCATACCACATCTCCTTATTTTTATAAACATAAAAAATAACTTCAATTACAAATTTCATTTATACATAAATGATATGGTTTGCAAAACGCTATTTGATATAGCCTAAGCAGGATAAAATTAATTCGATTTAATATCAACCTTACTTACCGGATTATCACATTGTAAGAATTTAGAATTCTGTATCAGTGCGAAGCCTGGAATTTTTGTTCCATCCTGGTTTCTGGCTTGAATAAAAAATCCTTTGAACTGGTTTGTCGCGGTTCTCGATAAGTTTACTAAAAAAAAAAAAAAAAAAAAAATTCAGTCCATGAAACAACACTTAAACTGAAGGCGTTTCTAAACATATATACACCTGTAAAATAAACCACAAGTACGTTAAAACTTTTCGAATATTGGCCACCCCACCCCCATTCCGAAACATGTTTAAAAGTTATTTCCAGATGTCATATTCCTATAGAACTCATCCATCTTTAGTTCGTTTATAAATGGAATTAACAATATAAAAACGAAATTTGTTGATTATTGTCAAATGTAAAGTGTGGTGATACTTTTTTCAACAAGAAACTAAAAACTCTTTACAACTTTTTCTCTGGAGTAATCTATCATATTAGTTTATATGATGATATATATGACTGGTAAATCTTTTGTTATACTGTCATAAATAATTATGAATTTGGTAGTTGATATGTACAAATCAAGCGTCTTAAAATTTGGAGCTTTGATGGTTTATGGTGGCAAATACGGTATTTCATGTCTGACTCTTAAAGTTCACAATAAAAATCACAGAAACAAACGACAGACCAGTTAACAATATGTTTTACCATTGGTTAATTCACGTACACACAAATAAATATACGTAGACCACTTTTACTGATCTACAAGTAGATACACTAGAATAGAGAAAAGAATTTATTCCTTAAACGGGCAATTTACAAAATGTCCTCTTTACAGTTCTATTTGTGTACTTCCTAATCCGAACAACATCAAATTATAATCAACGAAAGATGGCTAAACACTGACAAATTGGTAGATTTGATAAAATGTATTTGTGACTATTTATAAACCATTTACTATTATGTAATGCATCATGATGTTTCTGGTGAAATGTCTGTACTATACTTATATATCATTGTATATTTCAATGGCATTTAAAATACTATTGTTTGTTCTAAACCGACCGTGAAATTTAGAAATATTGTTTGGCTCTTTGTTTTTTTTTAATATTTCGGATATGTTGCTCTTTTTGGTGTCATCACGATTTTCCAACACTGTTAACGTTCGAACCCCATTATTCGACAATTGAATAATCCGAAACTAGATTACCTTCAATTAACCATTAACCATTATATGTTTGTCCGCTGTTCATAAAATGATAGTTTCTTAACATGTTTTATGTAAATGATTAAAGCCAAAATTAATACCTGTAATTACATCACCTCCTGCGTACATTGTCTTATCTAGAGTAATTTGGAATGGCGGTGCACTGGTCTGAGCGCTGTTTCCCGAATGTTGTGGAATCATATTATTGCATGCTCCATTTAATGCTCCTCCTGATGTTCCATGTACATATGAGCAACATGACAATAACAAGAGAATATGTAGGCATACTACTTTCATTGTGATGCAGCAATGTTAAGATTTGTTCTGTAAAAAAAAGCACAATGGCGCATAACATATTATTTAAACAATGCTCCCCTGCAGATCCGTAAAACGTGATTGCATCATTGTCGGTGTGTTACATTGTTACTTGAGAATATTACAATTGAAAACCCAAACGCAACTTTTTGCCATCAGCAAATGAAGTAACTTTGATTTGCATGTGTCCAAAATGAACCATTTGATATTCTTTAGATGTTATTTACATATAATAATTATGAATTAACCTTTGTTTATATTCTATAACGCAAACGCATTGACAATGATTATAATGACACTCAGATAGTCAATCTTGTCATCTTTCTTTACATTAAATAAAACACCTTAGAATCTAAACTGCTATCATTTACATTTAAATTGAAATAAATGTCTGAACAAACCTTTAAGGTCTTTATGTTAGTCCAGATACCTTAAACTAAGCTTTAAATGTTATTGATACACTTAAAGTGTTTGTATGATTTGGCATATTCATAAGGATATACACATGATTATAAGATGACCAAAACGGAACACAGAATTTAAATCACATCCCTAGATATAAACGACAGTTTCCTACGTCAAAGATTAATTTGAGTCATATACTTGAACATCTTAATTAACATGACCATTGTGTACTTATAAATGTAATAAGCAATTTTTTGATAATTTGCCATTTTAAATGCAAGATAGGCTGAAAATATTTCACGTTTAATCTCCTTACAAACGACTACGACTTACCAATGTTTTGCAGTCGATGTTTGATAATCGTAGTTTTACCAAACAGTACAAGAAACAGTGTAAATTCAAGATGGAAATTTCTTTTTATTTCAATTGTTTTTTTTATTTTGTGAGTTATAGTTTACAATTTTGTCAATAATATTATATTGATATCTGTTTACTGTTCTTTTTCGATTAAATATATTTCAATTGACCCCTTTGGTATTATATCTTATTTTCCCAATCACAACATTTTTACGATAAAAATACACTAAAAGTGAATGAACACGAAATATAGAGCCGATAATAATTATAAACGAAAGATGTCCGTCGTTGGGATAGGGCACTACAAAGGCTGGCAATACCAAAACAATGCGATGTGGTATGTTTACCAATGACACAGCTACAATGTATACACTTGACCAGAGTAAAAATGACACAGCTACAATGTATACACTTGACCAGAGTACAAATGACACAGTTACAATGTATACACTTGACCAGAGTACAAATGACACAGCTACAATGTATACACTTGATAAGAGTACAAATGACAGAGCTACAATGTATACACTTACAACTGACCAGAGTACAAATGACACAGCTACAATGTATACACTTGATCAGAGTACAAATGACACAGCTACAATGTATACACTTGACCAGAGTACAAATGACACAGCTACAATGTATACACTTGACCAGAGTACAAATGACACAGCTACAATGTATACACTTGATCAGAGTACAAATGACACAGCTACAATGTATACACTTACGACTGACCAGAGTACAAATGACACAGCTACAATGTATACACTTGATCAGAGTACAAATGACACAGCTACAATGTATACACTTGCGACTGACCAGAGTACAAATGACAATGTTACAATGTATACACTTGACCAGCGTACAAATGACACAGCTACAATGTATAAACTTGACCAGAGTACAAATGACACAGCTACAATGTATACACTAGATCAGAGTACAAATGACACAGCTACAATGTATACACTTGACCAGCGTACCAGCGTACAAATGACACAGCTACAATGTATACACTTGACCAGAGTACAAATGACACAGCTACAATGTATACACTTGACCAGCGTACAAATGACACAGCTGCAATGTATAAACGTGACCAGAGAACAAATGACACAGCTACAATGTATACACTTGACCAGAGTACAAATGACACAGCTACAATGTATACACTTGACCAGCGTACAAATGACACAGCTGCAATGTATAAACGTGACCAGAGTACAAATGACACAGCTACAATGTATACACTTGACCAGCGTACAAATGACACAGCTACAATGTATACACTTGACCAGAGTACAAATGACACAGCTACAATGTATACACTTGCGACTGACCAGAGTACAAATGACACAGCTACAATGTATACACTTGACCAGCGTACAAATGACACAGCTACAATGTATACACTTGACCAGAGTACAAATGACACAGCTACAATGTATACACGTGACCAGAGTACAAATTACACAGCTACAATGTATAAACGTGACCAGAGTACAAATGACACAGCTAAAATGTATGCACTTGACCAGAGTACAAATGACACAGCTACAATGTATACACTTGACCAGAGTACAAATGACACAGCTACAATGTATACACTTGATCAGAGTACAAATGACACAGCTACAATGTATACACTTGACCAGCGTACAAATGACACAGCTACAATGTATACACTTGACCAGAGTACAAATGACACAGTTACAATGTATACATTTGTGACTGACCAGAGTACAAATGGTGTGGATGTAAACAACTAAAGGTCACCACACGGCATTCAGCGATGACCAAAACACATACTGTATGCTAGTCAGCTATAAAAGGCACGTTGTAAAAGTATATAATAAACTGATTAACAATATGGAGAATACAAATGTTTTTTTTATTATCGTCTGTGAACCTACTAATCATACAATACACATGATTCAGATATTTAACTTTTTTATTTTTAGTTTTAGATGTGTACAATGAATTGTATTCTTACTTAATAAGGATTGAATTGTGCATTATGAGCACTATATAAGGTTTGAAAAACACATCTTTTATTTCGCGTCACGAACATTAGTAATTTTTTGGTGTTTTATTGTATAAGAAATTTCTCGTTTGGGGAAACAAATACTTTTTGAAGTTAACATTAGTGTATATGTTTGCTTCTTAACACACTTCAAGGGTGTTTTTCCTTCAAGTACATACACATCAGAAAACATTATTGATTGACTGGTTATCTTTTTGTGTAACGTTCAGTAGCAAACAGTTCATGCATATTCTCGGAAAATACATTAGGAAAATAAAGTGGTAGTGTTTGTAAAGTGTGTCGATCGAGATTAATGACGTGAAAATTACCTTTTGGATTAAGTAAGTATTTTTTTCTTTGGAAGCTATGGACCTCTCAAAGAGTTGTCACAAAGGTTCATGAACATGCAAAGATCGACCTGCCCGACGTTACCGCGTATTAATTGATCTCCGCATAACCAAACATACTCTCCAACAACATTGGTTCCAATGTAGAACGGAAAAAAGTCCGAATGATCATATTTCTATACCCAAGTCGTTCCATCGGGCCCTATCGATATTACACTGTAGAGCGACAGGATTTCATGTCAGCAATTTAAGTACTTCAAGATGGAGAAAATTATGAAAGCTTAATTGTTTTTCATAAATTGACTATGTCGTAGTTTTTCATAATATTTTTGTCTTATTTTCATATATTCTATACCAACTGCTTTACCACTCAATATTAAATAAACTCATCTATATATATCTAGCTATGTTTTCTTGTTTTGAAAATTGATTTTTAATAAAATAAGGTAACATTTAAAACTACAGATCTTGTGTGGCGTTTTGTTCTGCAACTGTTATCAGACAAAAATGTAAAATTGATAAATCGCTCGTTCGATGGCACCTCTTGTCTTTATGTGTCCTGAACTATTAATGAGCTGCGTCGGGGATAGAAATCGACCTTGTGCAAATGAATATCAATACATCTGTTAACTTATTTCTGGTTGAAATAATCTGTACGGGAAGCCTCTAACTGTTTGAAAATGAGTTGTTATAAGAACCCTACAAAACAGAGCATAATTCATCTTTTATTTCGTATTTGAATGTACCAAGTCAATCAAAGTCTTATACAAGTACATGTATACATTCACTTGCATAAGGTCGATCTCTATCCGACGCAGCTCATTTGTTGATAGGCTTATGAAAAATACTAACTCGAACACAATGGCTTCCCAATTATCAGTTTATTTCGTTACAATTAATTATACACAGATTAAACAAATCCGCAGCGATCTTAATTATAAAAGTTTTCTAAACGACTGAAGTAACCAAACAAATTTACAGTCATTTATTATATATGATTTGAAAAAGAATTCTTAACAAAACTTTTTTACTCAAAATGCTGTAAACAACACTAGGCTAATGTCAAGCTTTTAATACATTTACACTTCTGAGTGGTAATTAATTACTGCTAATAATCATAAGAACATACGAATGCGGATATTAAGATGCCTAAACCGGAATAAACAAATTAGATGTTATCTTATCATATTAACGACTTTTTTTTAACCAACGAGTAAAATGTCTTGATTCAGATACTTAACAATCATTAAATACATTACTCGGCTGTTCTTATTCGTTTTATTACCATCATGAAAAACAGAGATTGAGGTAAAAGTCAGTTAGACAGCAACCCAAAAAATAATAACCAAATAAAAGACACTAGACAGTCGTCAACTGTAAACAGGTGTCTCTACAATATGTCAAGGTCAAAACTAATTTATAAACAGAAAATATCAACACCAAACCGTCTAAGTAGTAAAATACATTAAGACATGATAAAAGAAAAACACAGCCGAGGTTACTGATTTGGAACAGTCATAATACGTTGCTGAATTTAAGTACACTGTGACTTGGAATAACACTAACGGTAACAATGTTACTGCACCAGATGCGCATTTCGATAATATATGTCTCTTTAGTGTTGTTCGAGGCCAAAATATTTGAAAAAGCAAACTTTTACAAACGTTGAAGAGCTGATCAAACCAAAAATTTCCTAAATTGTAGACAAATCCAGACTGGCATAATTATGTGGCTTAATTTAAGGTGGTACCTAACACTACAGGGAGATAACTCTGTAAAAATCAGCTAAACGTTTTAATTACTTTGTATTGTTAAGGAAATATTAAGCTTCTCAATGATCAAAATTAGTGTTTGTCAAACTGCTATATAACCAATGAAATTTTTCTGATAAAGTGGTTGGTTGAAATTTTTTGAAATTTTTATATTTTTGTCAAAAGGTCAAAGTAAACATTTTGTCAAAATTTTATGAAAATTAAACGAGCCAAATTAATTTTAGTCAAGGTGTTGGGTACCACCTTAAGTAGTTTTTAGACTCAACTCCCTCCTTTTCAATCCTTACATCTATCAGTGAACTAAAACCAAGTATATATGTACGTAAAACAACATACAATAAGTATTAGTAAAGAAAAGGCCATTAAATGTAAAATGACGATAAGATACCAAAACACGAGTACAAACAAAATACATTTTGTAGTTACAAACAATATTACACGGTACCCAATTATGGCTAAACGTCCTTAACCTGCTGATATTAAATCATGCCATCCCACACTCTATTATTTTACTTATTTTTATCTTCTACTTTTAAAATATTAGACCTTCGGAATCTCTTTTAGCTTCGTTTCTTTACAAACGTCCAGGATCTTGCAGCGTTTTGTTGTTTCTAGATTGTTAAACGATTTTTACATGC